GCGTCGGGGGGCGTGTTATGTGTTTGCTTGTTTGTAAATGTGAGTCTTTTCTTTCCAGACAGACTGGAGCCCGAGGGCAGGAATTTGCTTTTCCAAGACTCCAGACTCCAGGCCGTGACCAAAGCTAAACACACAGCTGGCAATGCGGCCAGGAGCCTGGCGACTGGGATCCCCCAGGCTGCCCAAACAACTGGGTCCCGAGGCACATGGTGGCCTCATGGATCCCGGGGGGCGTGGCTTCTCCCTGGGCCCACTGTGTCTGTGATGTGGGGCTCCCTGGCCGCCTGGGCCTCAGTCTCCCCACCATCCTACAGGGATAATAGGGGTATCGTGAGAGAAAGTCAGTTGTTCTCTGTAGAAAGCACCCTGGGCCGGGAGGGCAGGGGATGGGCTGGGACTGCTGCTGACGGCTGGGCGGCCTTGGGGACGTCTTCCTGGGCCACCTCCGTCTTCCTGGGCCACCTCCGCATCCCACCCCCGGGGTCATTACCTCTCTGCAGGGTGGGGTTGGGGCTCTGAGTTCTGCGTACAAATCCACATCCGGCAGCCCATCTCCGTGCCTGGGAACTTCCCCCAGGCTGCCCAAGGTGGCCCGAGAGATACTGGGCAGGGGGCTGGGAGCGTTCCTGCTGTCACAGAGGCAGTTGCCCGGCCTGCTTGGCCTTCCTCTGAGTTTATCTCCCACGGCCCAGCCAGGCTACCTCCTTATCACAGCCATGGTAAACTGGGGGCAGGGGTCACAGTGTCAGGCGCCCCTTCCAGAGGATTCTACCCAAATCTCCAGCCACCCCGAGGTGCTCCTTCCCCAGGGGCACCCGGAGTGTGTCCCATCAGCTGCCTGGGTGGGCTCCCGGCCTCAAGCGGGAGCCTTGTTCCCTCTGCTGCCTGCGGCTTCCCCACCCCCACCGCCCGGGGCTGTTTTGCTCTCACACCTGCGCTCTGGGTTCACATCAGCCCCCGAATCTAACCGAATCCAAAAATATTAAGCCGGGGCCCATCTGTCGGCCAACTGATGAGCACAGATGCGCCCCGGGTTTCAGAGGAGGCCGGCAGCCGGTCAGGGCTGTTAGGAGCGGCACCTGCTGCCTGCCTCGCTGTCCCCCTCTCATTCCTCAGCCCCTCCCAGTCCCAAGATCCTCTGGAACAGGCTGGCTCCTGCCCCACCCAGCGGGAGGAGTGTCCTGGGGCCCCCACAAGAGCCAGGCCCACCAGCTGGAACCCTTTGCCGTGAGCCTCTGCTCAGAGGCCAGCCTGGGGCTGCAGTTGGGCAGGAGCCGGTCCACTCTGGGTGGAGACACTGGCATCACGGTGGCTGCCTCACAGCCTCAGCACCTGCTTCTCCCTGCTGGGAGCACCCTCCCCAGGGGCCCCAGGACTCCTTCCCAACACATGGCTGGGACTAAACGATATGTTTGCAGCTTGCTTTGGGGTTCACATGAGGGCCTGTTCCGTCTGCTTCATGTGACAGACGTCCTTACTGCTCTTATTTCCAGAGAGGGTGGAGAGGAAACAAAGCAGACGCCCCTCCCTCCTCCCTCTCTCTTCCTCCCTCCTCCCTCTCTCCTCTTTCTTCCTCCCTTTTCCCTCCTCCTTCTTCCTCCGTCCTCCCTCCCTCCTCCTCTCTCCTTCTTTCCTCCTCCCCACCTCCTCCCCTCCTTCCTCCCTCCTTCCCTCTCTCCTCTTTCTCCTCCCTCCTCCTTCCCTCTTCCCTCCTTCCTCCATCCCTCCTCCCTCCCCCTTCTTCTCTCCCTCCCTCTCCCCTCCTCCTTCCTCCCTCCTTCCCCCCCGTTTCTCCTCCTTGCTCCCTCCCCCTTCTTCTCTCCCTCCCTCTCCCCTCCTCCCTTCTCCCTTCTTCCCCTCTCTTTCTCCTCCCTCCTCCCTCCCTTTCTTTCTCCTCCTTCCCTTCTGTGAGAGCCAGAACCAGGGGCCCAGTGAGGAGGCTGTGGTTTTGGAGTCTGAGGTTGGGGCTGGACAGGGGACAGGGTGTGGCTGGTGGCTGGGAGGAGCTGGAATCTGGCTGTAGCCAGGGAAGAAGCAACAGGACCGTCTGGTGGATGAGAAAACTGAGGTTCCCTGGAGTCAGTCGGCCCTGCCCCGACCCTTAGGGTGCCCCCCAGGCACCTGTGCACGAGGCTTCTCTGCGGTCAGCACCTGTTCAGCTCCAGGGACGGCCGAGAGGGTCCCGGGACCAGGAGTCTTGATGGCTGAGGAGGAACCGGGGCTGTCCAGAGTCCTGGGGGTGGAGAGTACTGACACTGAGGCAGGTTCAGCCCTTGCTGGACAGGTGGGAAACCTGCTTCCGGGCCAGCAAAGCCCAGGGGGCCTGTCTACCGCGCACCTCCCTCAACTCCTGTCCTGGGGGTTTTGCCTTGGCACCAGGGCTGGGCGGTGGCATAGGCGCCACTCCCTTCTCCCATGGGACGGATGAAGTCACTGAGGGCCAGGGTCTCCCAGGCAGGAAAAGGCAGCACCAGAATTGCAACCCAGGGCCCTTCTTATAGCGGTCAGTAAGAAGCACGGGCAGCCTGACCCCGAGACTGGCGCTGAAGTGGGGGCAGCTGCAGGACCGTCCTGGGCTCCCGGGGTCTGCAGTGACTCAGTTTAGTCAGGGCTAAATCGTAGGGCTCCCCGTGGTCACCCACAGACAGCTGGAGACTGGCTCGGTGTGGAAAGCCCCACGTCCAGGGCTCCGGAGTGAGCAGCTGTCCGAGAAGGGACCTTGTTTCCCTCTTCCCAGACCCAGTGCCCGGCATCCAGGCACACACAGTCTCTCTGGGGTACAGGGGACATCTCGTCCTGGGGCCTGTGCCTCTCAGCACCTACACTTTCCATTTTATTCTCTCACTAAAAAAATGCTGGTCACGATCCGCTAAATGGATTTGTGTCCCCCTCAGGGACCAGCCACCTCCCACAGCCTGACAAAGGCTGGCCTACGGGTACTGGGAGGGCTGAGGGGTGGCCCTCGGGCACAGGGTGACACTGCAGCCTTGGAGGTCCCTGGGGACCCCAGCCCCATCCTGCTCACCCAGCCCCTCACCTCTTTTAGCCACCAACAAAAGGAGCAGCCCCTGGTCTGGGGGGGAGGGGGGAGGGCTCTGGGACCCTGTGCCACCCCCTGGTGACGGCTGGAGTCTGCTCTGATGGCTGGTGTGGGAGTCTCCTGGAGCTGCCATGAGAAATCACCACAGACCAGGAGCTTCAACAGCAAGGATTTGTTCTCTCACGGCTCTGAGACCAGCTGTCTGCAGGGCCGGTTCCTTCTGGGGTGCTGTTGGTGGGGGTGGGGGGCACCTGCTCCAGGCCCCTCTCCAGGTTCTGGGGAATGGGCGCAGTCTCTGGTGTGCCCGGGCTTGTGGGCGCATCACCACGATCTCTGCCTCCATCTTCACACAGCGTTCTCCCTGCGTGCACATCTCGGTGTCCGCACCCGCCCTTTCTAGAAGGAAACTAGTCCTGTGGGGTGAGGGCCCACCCTGGTGATCTCACCTTGATCATCGGCAAAGACCCTGTTTCCCAGGAAGGCCATTGTCTGTGTTGTTGGGGGGCTAGAACTTCAACTTGTAAATTGGTGGGGGGCTCCATCCAACTCGTAAGGGAAACCTCTTGGGCCCCACAGCCTTGGGTGGGGACATATCCCCTTGGGCTTCCCGGAGCCAGTGCCTGTGGGGACTGAGGGTGGTGTAGGAATTTGACCCTCGAGACGGGGCTCTAGATCTTGGCAGGTGCAGCCCTCCTACGTGAGTCCAGCCATGGTGGGTAAGCCTCCTGCCCCCCTTCGCCTGTCTTCTGGGCTCCTGGCCTGGAGCCATTCATATTAGTCTCACTCAGGTGGCTTGGATGAGAAGCCGGTCACACCAGATTGGGCCAATAATATGGGTTTTGGGATTGAGTCAAGGCAGCACTTCTCAGCCACCCACGCTGGTGCCTGCAGGTGACTGATCGGGGCTGCCACACACACCACCCTCCAGGGCATTGGATCCCAGCCTGGCCAGGGCTGCAGGGGCTGGTGGGAGGCTGGGCCTGGGGCAGCCACCAAGCCACAGATCTGGGAAGCTTGGGAATGCCACACAGGATAACACAGCAACAGTATGGGCAACCACGAAAACCCACACCCAGGCACATCATGTTCAAACTCCAGAGAACCAAAGACAAAGAGAAAATTATGAAAAGAAGTTGATGTGGGGAGGAGGACTGAGCATTTTATATAGTTAACACCAGAGAAGGCAGGAAAAGATGGAAAAAGCAAGACTCTTCAAAGGAAGAAGAAGAATCCGAAATGTCCACAGTGCATCATCCCCATACTCAACATACACACTGCTGGGCACACAGGAAAACAGGAACGCAGAGCCCACAGTCAACAGAAAAAACAGTTACTAGTAGTAGACACTCAGATGCCAACGTTAGCAAACAAGAACTTTAAAGCAGCTGTTAGAAATGGGCTCAACTGGCTGTGCGGGTGGCTCACGCCTGTGATCCCAGCACTTCGGAAGGCCGAGGTGGGTGGATCACTCGAGGTCAGGAGTTCAAGACCAGCCTGGCCAACATGGTGAAATCCCGTCTCTACTAAAAACACAAAAATTAGCCAGGCATGGTGGTGGCGGGCACCTGGAATCCCAGCTACTCTGGAGGCTGAGGCAGGAGAATGGCTTGAACCCGGGAGGCAGAGCTTGCAGTGAGCTGAGATCGCACCACTGCACTCCAGCCTGGGTGACAGAGCGAGACTCTGTCTCCAAAAGAAAAAAAAAGAAAAAAAGAAATGTGCTCAACTGCCAGGCATGGTGGTGATGGTGACATGGTGGTGATGGTGGCGACGGTGGTGATGGTGGCGATGGTGGTGGTGGTGGCAATGGTGGTGGTGGTGGTGATGGTGACGATGTTGGCGATGGTGGTGGTGGTGACGGTGACGATGGTGGCGACAGTGGTGGTGGTGGCGATGGTGGTGGTGGTGGTGATGGTGACGATGTTGGTGATGGTGGTGGCCTGGTGGCGATGGTGGTGGTGGTGGCCTGGTGGCGATGGTGGTGGTGGTGGCGCATGTGCCTATGGTCCCAGCTACTTGAGAGGCCAAGGTGAAGGTGGGAGTATCGACTGAGCCTGAAAGGTCGAGGCCACAGTGAGCTGTGATCATGGGATTATACTCCAACCTGAGTAGCAGAACAAGATCCTATATCTAAATAAATAAATAAATAAATCCCAGTCCTCACCCCAAAAGAAATGTGATCAACTGCTTAGCAAAAAATGTGATCACCATGGGTGAACAGACAGGGCTTCACAGAATAAAAGAAACAAATAGAAATCCTAGAACTAAAAAGTATAATACCCGAAATAAAAAATTCACTGGGCCAGGCATGGTGGCTCACACCTGTAATCCCAGCACTTTGGGAGGCCCAGGCAGGAGGATCATTTGAACCTAGGAGTTTGAGACCAGCCTGGGCAATATAACGAGATCTTATATCTACCAAAAATTTTAAAATTAGCTGGGTGTGGTAGCAGGTGCCTGTAGTCCCAGCTACTTTGGAGGCTGAGGTGGGAGGATCACTTGAGCCTGGGAGGATGAGGCTTTAGCAAACCATGACCATGCCACCGCACTCCGGCCTGGGCAACAGAGTGAGACCCTGTCTCAAAACAAAATAAAACTAATTACACTGGATAGGCTTAACAACATATTGCAATTATAGAATAAAAGATTAATGAACTTGAAGACAGAGCAATGGTAATCATCTAAATAACAGAAATGTCAAAAACACTAAAAGAGAGAGACAGAGCCAAGCCATTTACAGAACAATGTAAAATTGCCAACTCCATGTGTAACTGGAGTCTCTGAATGGGAGGAGAGAGATTGGAGCACAAATACATTATTTAGAGAAATAACGGCCTCCACGTCCCTGGACGTAGTGAAAAGCATCAATTTATAGACACAAGAAGTTCAGCTAACTTCAAACAGGATAAACAGAAACTCACATGTAGGCACAGCACAGTCAAACTGCTGAAAACTGAAGAAAATTTGGAAGAAGCCGGAGAAAAGGGCGGCCAGAGGTGCCGAATGCTGGTGCCTCCTCATCAAAAACCAGAGGGCAGAGGGCGGAGGGCAGAGGGCGGAGGGCGGAGGGCGGAGGGTAGAGGAATGAAAGCAAGGAGCCGCCCCACCACTCCAAATCCAGCAAGAAATCCTTGGAGTGAAGGTGAAGGTGAAATAAAAGTGCTTTGAAGTAAATGAAACTGAGAAAATTTGCCGTCCTAAGAGCCTCATGACAAAACGTGCTAAAGCTGCGTGATCTGCACAAGGTAAGGAACTCGCGGAAGGGCAGGGTGGCAACAGCCCACATGTGACCGTGCAGGTGAGCGAGGCGCCCGTCCTCTCCTCGTCATCTCTTTTAAACGGCAAATCTGCACGCGTGCGTGTCCAGCACCATGAGCTTCGTGGGGTCTGAGTCATAGAACGTGAGGACAGGAGCGTGAGGTGTGGGGATGGGGAAGGAATCCCACTGTTGCGAGAGGTTTGGGTTTCTCGTCAAACGGTGCCACAGCTTCAGATGTCTCTGGAAGCAGAGTTGGGACCGGATGCATATGGGTGTGAAGGTGCTTAGGACCAGCGCGTGTGAAGGGAAGCGGGTAGGGCTGACATGTGGTGCAGGCCCCACGGGGCCGTGTGACCCGCGGGAAGATCTGGCACACAAGGGGCCCATTCGGCTGGCACTGTGGGGAGGCCTGCAGGGTCCGGCCTTCCTCGGTCACTAGACTCCATCTTTCCGGGAAGGACAGGGCTGTGGGAAAGGTGACTCTGAGGGTGAGACAGACCCTGAAGGAACATCTGGGTGTTCTGTGCTTCTAGGAACGATCTGAGCAGCACACCTCACCCAGCATCAACCTAGAAAGCGGACGCCAGGCAGACCGCGCTGTCTTCTCTCGCTGCCACGTGTCCACCGTCCCTCCAGATGGCCCGGTCCGCAAATGTCCCCTGCACCCACACGCACCTCGGTCCCTGGGCTGGGGCCTCTCCCACGCCCGCGGCTTCCTCCGCTGCCCCCACCTCTGTCTGTGCCCCCTCCTCTTCCAGACCCGACTCACTCTAGCGGCCTTGAGTGCCCCACGCTGTGCCTCCTGCGTGGCCCAGTGGTGCCGCAGCCCCAGTGCAATGTCGGAGGTGACCCCACGCCCACTGCTTCCTTGTGGGGAACAGAGGACCCAACCAAGACCCTCAGCACCTACAGGGAGTGGGGAGGGGCCCTTTCCAGCCTGGACCTTTCTCCTTCTAACGACAGGAGCCACAGGGTGCCCTGCCAGCTTCCAGCACCTCCTGTTCTTCAGAGAGAATTCTGGAAAATAACAAATCCTGACCAAATGCAGCCCCCACAGATACTCAGAGTCCAGTTTTTAAAGTCACCTCAGCTGCCTCCGTCCAGCTTCCGCCCTGGTGTGGCCTCTGGTCAGCACTCACTGTTTGTGAAGATGGAGAACTGGGCCTGCCCATCCCCCAGGGGTGGGCTCCATACGCCATTTGCCTGGATCACTGGGGAGAGGATGTGTGGGTCAGGCGGGCTGGGATTGCTGTTGGGGGGCAAGACCCCCCACTCGACACAGCCACGGCTTCCGTGTGAGTCGGGCAAGTCCTCCCCGGGGTGACTCGGGGATCCAGGCTGCTGAGATCTGAAGCCACAGCCTGTCACCTCCGGGAGGAGGAGTGCTGACAGCACGGCCCGGAGATGTGGGGGCCGAGTGGGCTTGGGGAGCACCACGCTGCCCGGCTGCTGCGGGTTTCCTGGGCTCAGCACCCCGGGAGGCTCCTGTGCTCGGCTCCCGGCACCCCTGAGCTGCTGGCGCTCCACCTCATTCCTGCGCTGGGGGAAATTCCAGGCTCATGGCTGCAGACTCGGAGTGGATTGGGTCCTGCCATCTGCCCAAGAGGGGCCGCAGCCAGGCAGGGGTCCGTGTGTGTTCTCTGGCTGAGGATCAAAGCACCAACACTCTGGGGGCTGTGACAGTGGACGTTGGGGCTCTCACAGCCTGCAGATGGGAGCCTGAAATCAAGGTGCGGGCAGCGCTGGCTTTTACTCTGAAGGTGCTGGGACAGGGCCCTTCCTGCCTCGTCCAGCTCCCGGGGCTCCCTGGCTCGTGGCCCTAACTCCCATCTCTGCCTCTGTCCGCACGCAGATGCCTTCCCTGCGCGTCTGGCTCCATCCTCGTCTCTTCTAAGGGTACTGGCCGTTGGATTTAGGGCCCACCCTACCTAGGACGACCTCCTCTCAAGATCCCTCACTTAAGTTTCCCATAAAGACCCTTTTTCTGAATAAGGTCACATTTCCAGGCTCTGGGTTTTAGGATGTGTCCAGTAACAAAATGAAACTGGGGAGCTGGGGGGACAGAGGAGCTGGGGGGACAGAGGGAGCCAGGGGGACAGAGGAGCCGGGGGGACAGAGGAGCTGGGGGGACAGGGGAGCCGGGGGACAGAGGGAGCCGGGGGGATAGAGGGAGCCGGAGAGA